CTCTCTCTCTCTCTCTCTCTCTCTCTCTCTCTCTCTCTCTCTCTCTCTCTCTCTCTCTTGTGTACGCTCTTAGTCTCATTGCTTTGGCTACCTTAGGGCTGCGTTCCCCGAGCCCACGCGGCAGACAATTCCTCACAGAGTCGGAGATAGAAAGGAAAACAACAGAATCACACAAAGGCACCCCCATTTAAACCCCTTTAGCCCCTTTAAATTTTAAAAACCAATTTATTTCCCCCTTCCCCACCCTTGACAGCCAACTCGCAAAAAACGAAATGAGCCCGCATTTGGGGTCCTCTGGGAGAGCGCAGAAAACCAAAAAAAAAAAAAAAAAAAAAAAAAATCTTCTTTGTTATTTTTCATGCCCGGGTGCCCGGCCTGGCAGGACCAGCCAGGCGTGAGAATCTTCCTAGGCTTTGACGACTTTATTCCTCAACTCTAATCACTGGAAGTTTTTGGGGAAAAGCAATCTGGGGAAGGCTCTTGGGTACATTGTTTCATAATGATACAATTTTTTTCCCCAGCCTTTTTAGCGGTTTCAAGTCACCTATTTGTATCTATTCAGGAGTATATTTTCTCATGGGAGAAAGGAAAGTGGATGCTTGTACAATGTACACTGTACGCACCAAGTTGAAGAGATCCCCAGACTGCCGTGCCATGGCTTTCCCACGAACCATGCAGTAGCTGATTGGTTCGCTCTTTCCTCTAACCGGGGAGGTCATTGGATAGACCGATATCCCACCCGTCGTCCGGCCTATCAATTGATTGAGTTTCACAAAGTCCATATCTTTTGTGCCCATTTCCAGCAGAGATTGGCTACAAAAACCCGACCACACCACCACAGAGTACAAGGGAGCACAAAAAAGTCAACCACATCAGCCATCCTTGACTGTTTGGTACCAGCCATTCCAAATCCTTTGCAAGTAGCCTACAGCATGCACACCACCATCATTGTCCAGATTTGTACAATATCTGCTACACTACCAGTACACTTACTTACTTGGCTACCGTCTTCCCCCCAGAATGCACCCTCAAATTGTCCATGTCGGACTGCAGTAGTAGCTTCTGTACATTCACGACTAGGGTCTGTTGCATCCGCGGGAAGATGGTCATCGGTCCCGACCAAATGGCACACATCCTTGACTGGTTGCCACTACCATGCATGACAGACAGTGCCCTTGTCCTCAAACATCTTTCGTCTTCCACCGGACATAACTTACACAAGGCACCCTCAATTTGTCTGTAACGGGCCGTAGTTATAAGCTGGTTGATTTGAGCCACGCTTCGCGCCTTACAGCTTGTATACATTTGCAATCAGGGTGCGTTGTATGTGCAGGAAGATGCTAGTTCGCACTGACTGAGTGACAAAAAATCCTTGACTGGTTGCCACTGACATTCGTCATGGTGGACTTCACTCCAAGCAGGTGTGGGTTTGGCAGCACCACACCAGCTGTTCCATCCTCCTTGTTGAGGTCCATACTGTACCAACTCCTGCTGTACACATCCTGGACCACTTGGTAAAGACTGGTACCGACAACATACATGACGTTGTGGGATCACGTGCAGACATTGCCAACTGGCGGACAGACAGTTCCATTGCAGAAGTCATTGCCATGAGAGCATTCCATGGTAACCAAGTCGGATGCAGCCCATAAGTGGTTAGCGGGGAACCCCACTTTCAGCTCCTGACTAACAAGTCCAAAACTGAAATTAGGGTCATTTGGAGCATTGGAATTTCCTCTGCTGGGATTTCTGAAATTTCTCAAGATTTCTGAAATTGGAATGTTGTGAAATTTCATGAAAGTGCACTTTTGCCTTGCTGTCTTATAGGTTTTTCCTTTTCTCTTTTCTTTTTTTTTTTTTTTTTTTTNTTTTTTTTTTTTTTTTTTTTGCAATTACTTAGTATGGTCTCAACTGTATGAATTGGTGACATTTTCCATTGAAATGACCCTTGGGTTTCGTTTTAAATGGCATGACAAGTTGTCTGAAATTTTGGGCCTCCATTAACCGCCTCCGACGCAGCCAACCAGAAAGAAAACCATCGAGTTGCTGGCCAGTCAGTTAAACTTTGTCCACAGGGCAGCTCCTCCTCATGGGGGGTGCCGTTGAGGGCTCCACAAAAGTCAACAAACTTAGCAATAGACGAAGGTAAGAGCCACCACAAACCCTTTTCTTATATTTCTGAAATCGGCAGTGGTGTGAGGCCTCCAGGCTTTGAAGGCCCTAAGTGAAGGCCGCGCAGGAGGTCTAGGCTGGCCGTAAAACAGGACTGCGGCAGCCTATGGCATACTGGCGAACGGCGCAGGCCAACCAGGTACCCAACAGGCCCTGTAGGAACCCAGAACAAGCAGGTACCCTGGCAGGAACCCAGGCCTTGGCCACGCAAGTGACACATCGGAGCAGGCCTTACCTTCAAAGTTCAAACCTCTAACAGTCTCCAAATTGGGAGTGGTGGAGCAAGGCCTCATGTCACAGGATTCCACTTGGCCTGTAGTTTTGTTTATTTTCTTTTTCTTTTCCTTTTTTTCCCTCCGGGGTGTGCAATGTTATTTGTTGAATGCATCATACAGGCTCCGCAGCTCTAAGTCTTGCAATGCTTGCATTCAGTGCACGCCTGGCAGTGAACTGCATTCTGCTCAAGACAACGCAATTTATTCCTCCCTTTCCCTACCATCCTGCAGATTTCTCCCTTATTTCCCTCCTCTCTCTTCCAATCCCCCTCCTCCACTCAACATGGAAACATGCCTACTGTCATCGACTGCTGGATGTTTACCCTAAGCATGACAATCACCACTTTGGTCCCAGGTGCTCTTTATTGGCGGATTCTCCCATGACCCCCCTCCCATACTTAACTTACTCCAGGTGATGATTAAAAAAAAAAAAAAAACACCAGAAGGAGGTCAAGGACATTTTGCAGACAAAAGAGAGGAGAGGCAATACAAGGAAAAAGGGGGGGGGAGGGGGGGGGGGGACGGGGAAGAGGCAGGGTAGGCAGGACGTGGACAAGNGGGGAAGAGGCAGGGTAGGCAGGACGTGGACAAGAGGGAGAAAGAGGAGGTGGGGAAAGAGGACGAGGACTCCACAAGTACTCCAACGAGGGTACAATGGGGAGAAACAGGAGAACTCCACGAGGAGTACTCCATGGACAAAGCGGAGGAGACCTCCGTGAGGAGTAGAAAAGACGCTAAAGCATGAGGTAGGTATCACTGGAGGAGGGTGGCCGGGAGGACGTGGGGGAGGAAGAGGAGAACGAGGATGATGGGGAGACGGAGAATGGATGAGAGATTGACAACAACAGACAAAGACGCTACGCACCAGGGCTTTTTCCACTTAATCCCAGCACAAGGACAACCAGACATATTCCCAAAAAATGAAGTGTGAGCATTGCCCTAAACCTTACCAGAAGAGAGGGACCAGTGGAAGCAGGTCCGCTGAGACAGAACGCATGTCAAGGCCAACTTCAGCATAGAGGACATTATTCGTAAAGAGATCATGCCGCAAAACTTTTGATCCATCTGCCTGCTCTGATACCTGCAAATAATGCCACACATCATCAGACGGTGGCAGTGGCATGTTCGAGTGTGTTTGTGTGTTAAGGAGGGGGAGGGAGGGGGAGGGGAGGCAGACATAGGATGTTTACCACAATTGTCTCTCCCATTCCCAGTCAAAACAGTCACCAACAACGAATTAGAAGCACAAAGAAAACTGTTGCATGAAAAAACCGCCAGGGTCAGCCACCACAGGGAAAGCCAGGGGACGGGGAGAAGGGAGGAAGCATGTGATGTGAAAATTTATTTTAAACCATTAAGAAGTTCAAGGCTTAAATCAAGCAAATGTTCACCTCAGAGATAATCCCAAGGTCGTACTTGGCGAGTGTGCAGCAGCACGTACAGCCAAATACGAATTATTCACACAAGTTCCAACAAAGAGGTTGATGTGTGGTCATTCTATTTTTGTCTATTTGCGTATGCGTGTGCTCATTCACACTTCGCAGAATGTTGTTGAATTGCTGAATTGCTCTCTTCGCGACAACCACATACAAACTGGCGGGGAGAAGTTCACCCTGGTCGAGTGACCGTGTTCTGCAACTCTGTTAATTTTGTCCTTGCCCCTCCTTCATGCTGATTAATGTTAAGCACTTGGTGATTGATTTACCTACCTATGCTCCCTTCACTGTAACAGGCTTATCTGGATCGATTGTGCTCAGGGGTTTACAACTTTACATCTTGTCCATCTCCTTTGTCTCTATGTTTGGAATCTCCGCTTCTGTGTGGTCATTCATCTTTGTCTAGTTGCATTTAAGTGTGTTCATTCGCACTTTGCAGAGTATTGTTGCATTGCTGAATTACTCTCTCTCTCTCTCTCTCTCTCTCTCTCTCTCTCTCTCTCTCTCTCTCTCTCT